CCTGAGGAACCGCAGGGTCTGCCCATCACGTGCAGAGCGCTGCCATCCGGCTTTGCTTTCGTACACTTCCAAAGCAAGAAAAATGCATTCAGATCACACACAGGTACAAGCCTTGACCCCCGGGGTTGAAATAACCTCTCCTCCATGCCATGGAGCTCAGGATATGCCTGATCCTTCCTGTTGACCCTGTGCTGCTGTTTTAATTTAAAACCTGTGTACCCCGCTGTGATTGAACGCTACTGTGGATTCCCAGGCTGCCGACACTGACATGGTCGTCTTTGTCATGCTGAATAGAGACCTAAATTTATGGCAGACAGCCTGCTTTCCTATTGAAAGGACTTAATAGATACAGTACATACAAATATTTGTGTGTAGTGTCAACTGTCTTGGAAGAAAATTTCATGCACATCCTGATTAGACAAATCCACTACTGTTACGTTGTGGTGTGTTTCTTAGGAATGTCTCTCTACCCATTTTTGTCATATCTTAATTGTTTTGGCTTCCACTGGTCCTTTATAGCAAGTGTGGGTAAATCTCATAACTGCTGTTCAGGTCTGGTTTTGATCTAGAGCTGTTTGGCATGTCAGTGCCGCTACTGGCCGTGGGACGGCTGCTGACAGGCAGCACGCTCTTCTGCTGTGCTGCACACAAGTGTGTGATTTGAAGCATCATGGGTTGGTTGGTCTCTTGGAGGTTATAGTTCGGTATTAATTAAGCATTATAAATATAGGTCTCCTTAAGTTTTATTTCAAAATATACGAGTTGACTGGAGGACATGTACCTTTTCTTGTTTGAGGAGGAAAGTTGTCGTGTATTTAGTGAAGGTGACGTAGTGCTTTTTTCCAAACCTTTGCATCATTTAATGTAATTAAACATTAGATTTATTGTCAGTACTCTTCAATTAAATGTGCCCTGGTGAGTGCTGGCAGCATTTTGCTCGTTTGCCTTGGTGATGCTAGTTGCTGCCGTTTAATAATGTCTTCTGCAGTCATTTTGTGGGCTGCCTCCTAAAGTCTTGCATAGACCATCCATGGTATTGACCACAAGTTGAGTAACATTACTCTGGACCTACACAAGATATTCCGTTAATCTTATTTCAGCATGTCTTTGCTTTAAGAACAGTTTATTCTGCACTTGAGCAGTGTGTGTTCACTGGGATCTTTCATACTCTTCTGAGGATGGATGAGCTGGTGTTTTCTGGGAGCTGGGAGTGTCTTCTTGTTCTCGCCTTTCAGACAGATGAACTAAGCCGTGGGGTAATTGCGGCAACTGGCCCACATTTATATCGTGGATATAAATCCTCCCGTGGGAATCCTGTTCTCCCTGAGGAGCATGGTGCTGATTGGGAGGGTTGGCTCTATCTTTGAAGAGCAGTAAGTGTGTTGAATGATGATAATTAGTTTTTTGCCACTCAGTTTAATTGCAAAACCTTACTTGAGACATGTAGTGCTTTTGGATGGTCCTGACTGTATCAATCTATGCTTTTGCTGTGCTCGGGACCTGGGCTGAAGGACCAGCACAGAGGTGTACAGCCCAGTGTCTGCCTGCTGTTGGTTGTGACCTTGTAGGTGACCATGGGGTGTTGTGAGCTTGTCTGTGAACATGACTGCTTGACCCCATTAGCACAGGCTGTACCCAGGTTGGTGTATGCTTGGCGGGCACTTGGGCAGCCAGGAGACCAGGCAGAGCTCTTCTGTGTGCAAGGAAGCCTGCAGCAACTTGCCGTGGCTTGTAGAATGCTTTCATGGTGTAAATTAGGGAGAAGAGGTGATGGGGAAATGATTTTAAACAATAAATGGTACATGAAAAGGAGAAACAGAGGAGCAGGGAGGTGGTGGTTTGCTCTGTGGAGTAGGGTGGAGATTTTAAAGGCTTCGTCAGCAGGGCAGGATGCTGGGAGTCTCACACAGAGGTGGGAATAAATGGGTGCAGGAGCCTCCTGGGCTCTGGCTTCATGTTGTAGCCCTGGTGCTGGATTTGCTGGTAACCTCCAGCTTTCTCCTGTTCCTAATCAGAGACTGTAAATCTGTTCATACCTAGTGCTGTAATGGCTAACACAGGTCTGTGGATAAAACGGTCTCTGATGGAGACTTCAACCGGGGGGGAAATACTTTTCCTGTGAGACAATGTCTGTTCCTCATCAAAATCAGTTGAGGAAAAGTAGGAACCAAACAGTTCGATCTTAGAGATTTAAAAAGCCTGGCTGCACTATTTGATTTCCATTAATCTGCTCCTATTGTTTGTGTTCCTCCCTTAAGAGTGATTATTAACGGGTTGCGGATGAGGAGGCACCCTGGGTTCTTTTGCTTGGGATAGAAGGCCCAGCAGCACCCAGTTGCACCCAGCTCTGAAGCAGCACCAGTGCATCCCCAACCAGATGTTATGCTCCCAGTTTGCTCCCCAGTGGGAGCACCCTCCTGCTGGCAGGCCATGGACCATCATCCTCCCCATAGGAGTGCCCCAGTGCTTTGGAGACCTCATTTGGCTCCAGCCCCAGTCCAGCTGTGGTGGAGAGCATCCAGGGCCTTAGACTTGCACTGATATCTTGCTGCTCCATGGTTTGCAGGTGTGGGGATGTATGGGCAGTGCTTTGCCTGTTTGCAAGCTCATCAGTTTTTACTCTTGGCTTTCTTGTTCAGACAAAGGTAGCTTGCTGCCCTTGGTAAGGAAAAAAACCTTGCTTGGTCCTGCTACTGTGTGGTTAGTGCATACCACCAGCACAGCATGGTCTGGTGCAGGAGGGCTTTGTTGTCCCCTCTAATTTCACCCCACGTGTGTATATTCCTCCAGTAGAGAGTGATTTTTTTCTTTCTGCACAGAAAGCAGCATAAAAGCTTTTAAACTATTCTAGAGCTTGAAACCATGTGGCTTTGCACTTGGTGCTGAGTTTTAAAGCTGAACTTCTGATCTCAAGAGTGTAAATGAAGAAAAACCATCCCCTTTTACTGTAGACACCTACCACAGCATGGTAGGTCTATGTGCTGAGCTTCCAGGGAAGCAGTTGGTTTGCTGAAAGCTGTCACGGGCTCTAGGACCTCCAACATGGGAGTGTGTGTATGCATGTAGCATGTGTGTATATATATATCTCCATACATATATATAAAAATAGATAGATATCTCTATATGTGCTAATTAACTCTTGGGTGGCTTCAAGCCAAGATGTCCAAGTTTGAATCTGTTATTAGGAAAGTACCTTGAACTTCTGCAGATCCCAGCAAGCTTTTGGAGCCCTCGAGAGCATCGTGCTCGCATCCTTGGCTGCTGCAGGAAGGGTTTGTCCCTGTAGAAGCGCATGTGGGCTGCAGGAGAGCTGGGAGGAGGGTGGTGGAGTGTCCCTGCGGGGAGCAGAGAGGATGTTGAACCGTGTGCTGCTCCCTGCATGGCCCCCAGCTTCAGGTGGGAATCAGCCATTAAAATCCCATCCAGTCGGAAGTGTGAGGGGAAGTGGGGCAGTCATACTGGAAGTATAAATACACCCCAGCTGCCTTCTGGGTGCCTCTGAATTCCCCTGTGTGTGCTGGGGCTTTCCTGTCCCAGGGGTGGATTGCACTGAGCATGCTGAGCTCCAGATGGGGACCCTGTCCCTGTGCGGGATGAGGTCTGGCTGCTCCCGGGATCAGGGTGGCAGGTAAGGTGTCCTGGGGCTCGGCGGTGATGTGCGGATGGAGGGCTGGGGTACCCCAGCTCTGTGCAGGGAGTGAGCTGAAAGCAGGAGGGGACCTGGTTGTCCCCTTTTTCCTGCCTTGAGAACCAAACCTTGCTGTGTGTTTTTCCTCATGAAATACCTTTGGCCAAAGAGACCTTTGGGAGCATGGAGATGTCTCCGCACATCCATCCTCCTTAGGTCTAAATGATAGTTTGCTGAAAAAATGTTGTTTTTGTAAAACTTGTCCTCTTTGTAAGGTCTTCAGGCTGTTCCCCTCCTGCCATTGCTGCTCTGCTTGTCGTGCCCAGCCTGCAGGGGCTGTTGCTTTGGTTTGATTTGCTGCCTGGCTGGGGAGCAGTGCGTGGATGCTGAGCAAGGCAGCCCCGTGCCTGCCTGCAGCAGATAGCAAGTGCTTTATCAGCACGGGCTGATCTGTGGTCTCACAGGAGGAGTTAAAAAAATAGAAAAAGAAAAACTTCCTCTTTTTTTTGGTTATGTTTCTTTTTTTTTTTTTTCCTTTCCCACCCCCCTGCTTGGTTTTTGTACACACCAACTGCTCTTTCAGTTGAAATTGCTTTGGGTCCCTGTGTAAGGGACCATGAAGATGTGGGGGGAGGCTGCTGTGGAGCTGGTGGCACTGGAAGCTTTCTCTGCTGCTCCTGATGTGCTGGTGAAAGATTTAGATACTGTCCCAAATCTTCAGGGCCAGGTTGGATGGGACTTGGAGCAACATGGTCTAATGGAAGGTGTCCCTGCCCATGGCAGGGAGTTGGAACTGGATGAGCTTTAAGGTCCATTCCAGTCCAAACCAGTCTGGAATTCTGTGTGTGAGAGTGTGGATGGGGAAGGGGATGGGCTGAGCAGGGACTTTGTGCTTTTGGACCTTGTGTTGAAGTGCCAAGATTCCAGATTGTGGTTCTGGGATCTATGTCACCCCCAGAAAAATATCTGTCTCATAAGAGACATGGAGACATAGATCAGCAGGGCCCAAATAAATTGCAGTCAGTTTGCAGGTGCTGGGGGAAGACTTTCCAGGGCAATCAGGTGGGATGAATTTGGGATAATCTTATAAGTTGGACTTCCCTGTGATGGGACTAATCCACAATAGAAACTTGTCAGTGGTGTTTGCCAAGTGGAAAGTGGGACTAACGTAGAGTTGAGGGCAGTTAGGTTTTGGTGATCACCTAAGCCTTGATGTTCAGTTGTCTCACGGGACCATGGTTGACTGAATATTAACCCGCTGCTTTCCTGTTTGCTTCCAGTTGTTGTGTGACGTGGACAGCACACACATGATGCTGAGGAGCTCTTGCCTCTCCTAATCCTTTGCCGGTGATTTGGAAGCAGCCCTTCCGAGATGTCTGGATCTACGCAGCCCGTGACGCAGAGCTGGCGCGCCGCCGAGCCGCGCTACGCGCCGCACGCTATGTCCTACCCGGTTCAGATTGCTCGACCACATGCGGTAAGGCAAGAGGCTCTCCTTCCCTGCCCCTCACGGGGTAGGGGCTGTGTGTCGTGTCGCTGTCACCGGGGCAGTGGTTGGGCTGCGCTGGTCTCAGATATGGCTGTTACGCAGGAATCAGACTGTTTCTGTGCCTGTGGTCCAGGATTTCATCATTCCTCTCTTGTGGGATCCTCTTTTGTTTCTCCATGTGGTGTGCTCGTATTTTCTCTCCCTTTCCAGCCTCTTCCTGGTGGTGCTCATGGTTCTCTGGCTCATCACTTCTGAGCACCCAAGCCCATTTGTCTTCCTGGCAAGAGCACCCTTGGTTAGATGCAGCAAACAGCTTGCAGGGAGAGGGGAAGGTGTAATCCATGTGGAGCAGGAGCACATGGCCTCCAGCCCTCTTTGGCATTGCCTTGAATCACAAGGGAATGAGCATCCTCTCCTGTGTGCGTGGCCTTACCGTGAGCCTGGTCCTTGTTCCTCACACATGGGGGAGCTCTCCTCGCTTCCAGGCAGATTGCTGGGGGTGAACCTGCCCTTCTGTCAGGAGACCTGTCCTTCTCTATGTGGTGTTCTGGTTGGTGGTAGCAAGGAGAAGACTGAGCTGCTGTTGTCCTTCCATTTGATCCTTCCCCACTTTTTTCCCTCCTCTTACCCTTGACCTCTTGTCTCCACTTGGATCAAGGCATAAGCTGGTGGTGGTTTGTTGACTGTGTTCTGTTGAATCCACTGCAGCTTGCACAGGTTAATTCACCCAGCCCCAAGCCCCTCTGCGTGCCTATCACTCACGCCTGTGCTTGCTCATCCTGAATGGTTGAATGTTTTAGGTTTAAGCCCTTAACAGAAAAAAAAGCCTCTCCTTAGTGGAGAGCTTTAGTCAGCTCAGGCTGCTTAAATGAATCTTATTAGGTGTGGAGTGTGGCGCACACGCTTGCAAGGCTGCTCTTTGGAGCTGCTTCTTGGTGGGTTAGAGTGAGGTGGCCATGGCCAGGAAGGGGCTTGTAACACAAGTTAGCAAGGAGACCTTGTCTTGGGGTTATGTTTCTGACAGTGATGGCTATTGAATGGTAAAATTCCCGCTGTGATGATTGTAGGGTTTGACTTGAAAGCCTGGAAACCCATGAAGTGTCAGCAAAGGGCTGTAATTCCCTCATCTGCCCTCTTTGCTGGGCTTCAGCAGAGCGGCACAGGGAGCAGAGCTGGAGTTGGGAAAGGCTTTGAAACAGAAGTGTTAAGGAGGGCGCAGGACAAGCTTTTGGCTGCCTCAGCTGGCTCATCCACATTGCTCGGGGCCTGCGTGCTTCTGCACAAAGAAGCTTTTCATCCAGGCTATGAGACATGCTGACCTGGTTCGATTTATGGGAGCTTTGCTTCCATCAGTGCGAGCGTGTTGGTCTGGGAGGTGGGACAGAACGAGAGCATTTGTCGCAGAAAGAAAATCCCAGTTCTCTTTTTATCAGAGCAGGAGGAGGATGTGACCAGCTGAGTGAGATCTGCAGTTGTTGCAGAGCTCTGATTTAAAAACAAACCCAAGAAACCTCAATACTCAAAGTGGAGACTGAATTTAGAAGAGTGTGAAAGGCTCCTGGCCTTGGGGTGCTGAGTCCTTGTCTCCTGCAAACCCCAGTTGCTTTCCCCTTAGTGTTAGAGCAGGATAAACCAAGAGGGGCAGCTGTTTGCAGGTCAGATGGAGCTCAGGGTTTCTCCAGCCTGCCCTGCTGTCTGGCTGCTGTGAATACTGGTTTTATTCTACCATATTAATGTTGGAAGAAGTTGCAGGCATTTGCTTCCAGAACCTATTTTTACAGCCACATGTAATCTTCTGAAGCCATGTGATATCTTATAGGTGTCTGGATGCAAGAGGGGTCTGAGCTGAGATCTGTTTGGATGGGAAGCTGAAAGGCTCCTCTTGTCACAAGTGTGCCAGCCCCATGTAAACCTCCCCTTGCCTCTCTTGGGGAGGGCAGGCAGAGCATTCCATGAAGCATGTCCCTGCATGATCTGCCCTGCTGCTCTCAGCTGTTGGCAAACACGTGTCTCTTGCTTGGCAGCACCATGAGCTGGAACCTGGCCATGGCTCTGGGGCTGGAGCTGATCTCTGGTGGGATTGCTTGGGAGAGGAGAGCCCAGTTGCTTTGAAGTTGCTGCACTGTTTAATATTAAAAGTCAGTGGTATTTGCTTGCATGTCTTGGCCAGGTCAGTTTTGTCATGGGGTGTGTTTGCACAGTGAGAGCTTGTTTGGAAGAAAGCAAGAGAGGCCAAAACCAACCTGACACCAGCATGTCTTGCATCTAAGTAGATTCTGGTTCTGGTTTGCTGCATTCCAAGACATCCTTTCCTGAGAACTGGGAATTTGTCAGCCTGGGAATCCTTATCCTGGCGGTGGGAACACCCTGGGTCAGCTCCTGGGGCTGAGCGCAGCAGGGCTGCGAGTGCTGTTCTAATACACATGCATGATCCCATTCCAAGTGTGGCGGTCGCGCCCAGGGATCGGCGCAGCAGGACTGCCGAGCCCAGAAATGAGCCGTGACGTTATTTTAGGCTCGGAGACACTTCATGAAAAGTGATTTAAAGGATTGCAGCTGTTTGATTTCACAGATGAGGCAAGTGAGAAGGGATGCTGTGGAGGGGCAGGAAGCAGTGGGAGCCGGCTTGGGTGTTTTTCTTTTCCCATCGTATAAACCCCAAGGGAATATCCAACGAAATGGGGGGAAAGATGCATTTCAAGTGAATAAGCAGAAATATGCTTTGTACATACGGGCACCGTCTCCCAGCAGCATTCCAGGCATTACTGCTGGGTCTGGAGCTGGCAGAGAAGAGCCAGGACTGGTCAAGTGAGGATGTTTGTTGGCTGGTTTCACTCTTAGGTGCCAGCTTTGGGCAGGGCTGTGAACCCGTGGCTCTGATCCAGAGTGAGCTCTAATGGGTGATGAAGTGAACAGGCTCTTCCACACAGCGTAGGTTGGTCCCCAGCCATATCGGGGTGTTGTCATCCTCTTCCTCCTCCTCACTGAGACACGTCTGGTCCCAGGGAGGCTGGATGTGGAAATGGTGTGATGTTTTATAATGACCCTCAGTATAATTCCATCTTACCAAAGAATATCCAGTGAAAATACTGACAGGCATGTGTGTTTTTAAAGGGAAGAAGGAACGATGGTGAAAAGGCTCTGTTTGATTTGACTTTCTTTACCTAAAACTAAAATAACCAATAATCATCAGTTTCTTCTTAAGAGCACTGAGTGAGTGTTTCTTGATCAAAGTGCAGGGGAAATGCTTTTCTTTTCCATATTCATTAGCTGTAATGTTGGGGTGCTAAGTTGGCTTCTGTCATGTTCAGCTTGGGAACAGAGGAATTGTTTGAATGCTCCGTGACCTTTAGCTAAAGGTGAAAAAACACATTACTTATGCTCTTAACCTTCTAATGTGTCCGAACTTAATGCTCTCTCAAATGGAACTTTTCCATGAAGGATATTCATTTTCAGGCAACCTGCAGGTATTTTCTGTAAACAGATCAATTCTCCTGCATAGCACATGGACAGAAGGGTTCCCTGCTCTTCTTCCTGTGTGGATCCAGTTTCTTGCTGTGCCCTCCTTACCAGTCACCCTTCTGTTAGTTCCCTGACATTTCAGAGCTGCAGGAATGATGTGGCTTCAGATACAGGCTGGAGTTTGCAGGAGGGTGGTATGAGCTGCAGATGTCCTCCTGCAGCAGCTTCTGTGCCAAACAGCTTCTGCTTTTGGGGTGCTTTTAGTGTTTTACCTGTTAGAGATCTTGAAGAGGTTTGAGGATTGGTAGGATTGGGATGTGTGCACGTCCATGTGAAATTGGTGCTTTATCATTATTGAATCCCCATCAGGGAGCAGTATCCCCTCCCTGCCAACAAGACATGCTCTGCATGCCTTCTGTTTGCCCCCATTCCCTGCACACACTTCAGCTGAGATGCAAAGGTGAGCTTAACCCTTCTGCTCCAGCTTTGAGACCGTGCTTTGTCCTGTGCCACCTCTCCTGCCCAGGAGCAGCTCTGTAATCCCTTCATTAAACTCCCTGTTTGCAAAACAGCACTTGTGCAGGAGTGTCCCAGCCTGATCACTTGGGTGTTTTTGGCCTGTGATGAATAACTTCCTTGTCTGTCTGAACCAGAGACAAGAGGTTGGTGCAAACTTGTGTGTTGATTTGGTGTCCTAGCCAAATCTGGCTGGGGGGAACCGAGTGCCTTCTCTGCCCAGGCTCCTCCTCCCAGCAGGGCGAGTTAAACCCAGTGTCCTGCCCTGGAAGGTGCAGTGAGGAGATGGGAGCTGCTGAGATGGCAGGAGCTTGCTCCTGCCTGCAGTGACACGGTCAGTGAGGCGATGCCAGGTAAGCCTGCAGAGAGACACTGTTTTGTATTACAAGCGCCCGGCGCCTTCTCTGCTGTGTTGCTTTTCCTTGGAGTCATGATTCACACTTGTATCTGCTGGAAGCAAAATGCCAGTCTGTGTCAGGGCTCCAGGAACTTGCAGAACGGAAGAGTTTACAGTGCACCACCTCCGAGCGCAAAGAAAAGCCTCTGTACCAGCTGCACAGCTGAGCCCCGCCGTGTGAACCACCCCCCGGTTCGTGCCAGGGATTCACATCCCGGATTCTGCCTGCTGGGCTCCAGAGAATGTGCTAAGGAATGACGTGAAAATCAAAAGCATATCTTGGAAATAGTGACTCCGATTGGGTCTATCACGAGGACTCGGCGCGATCTCTCTCCTGAGCCTTTCCAGTGAAGGATTGCATTAGCTCTGAGAGGGTTTGGGAAGATTGGCTTTCTGCTGTGGGACTGGGAGAGCATGGAGGTGAAGGAACAGGACAGCTAATTCCCTACCCTGGGGTCTCTCTCCCATTGCCAAGAAGGAGTTGGCTTACAGCAGTTTATATTTAAAGCTCATTTTCCCTAGGATACACAGCCTTTATCCAACACAGTTCTTTTTCTTCAAGCTACTGTAAACTTCCATGATTGCTCACTAATCTGCTTTTTGGATGGGATTC